CTGTAGACAATAGGAAGGATGAAATCAGGCTGCCGACCTATGAATGACTTGTGTAACGCGAACAAGGTTCTTTTGTTATCTGTAACCTGGTAGGTAAAAAATGTGCTATAGGTGATGATGTAGTTACAATTTGTAAAATTGCAAGTACATACTTAATTGATCTTTACTTCTTTCCTTATTTTATCCGTACCGCCAAGTGTGTAAAAACAAGTGCATTATCTAGTTTCTTTAACAAACAGAAGTGGTTATTTAGGTAACAGTATTCTATTTCGACACGGTTATATATCAACTTCATAGCTGTTGATGGCCGTATCAGATTCATTCACCTGTTTTCCTTCTGAGTTATGAAACCCAAACCGTATTTATTTGATCTGGTAACAAGTACAATATATCTGTATCTCCCCTTTCACTTTTACATAAGTACCCACATAACTTGAGGTAAGTGAATAACAGCTTCCCCTTAATGCATCTTAACTCGACTGCAACCAGCATGAAAAGATTCATCTGTCTTTACTTTCAACATCCTCATAAACAACTTCTGATTTAACGACTTTATTCTGAATTCACTTCTTTTAGACAAAATCACTGGAAAGTTAACTATCATCTGCAATGAAATTGAACAACTGAAATGTAAGCTTATGAAGATTGTAATCAGTGAAGATTATCAACATTTACTAAAAACACCCAATAAAGCAACATCATCTACCTTTCAGAAATCCCGAGACACTCGAATCAAAGACTTCAAAAATTAGTGGATTAAAAACATCCCTCTAAGAAGAATGAAATTACAAATGAACAGTCATCATCAACTATTGACACATCGTAGTGGGTAGTCAATCTCTCCCACACATCTCAGCTGAAACAAAAGTATTTGAAAAAGACTAGACTTCGACTTAACAATAGGCTATTTAACACTCGAAGATGTCATATCTACCATAGAAAAAGCGTTAAGTTCAGTAGATACAACAACCAATTTACAAGCTAGAGAGCAGTGTCTATTATTCCTGAAGAAATAAGAAAATATAGAACAAAATTTAATAAAACTAGAGAGATCAGCTCTAAATAATCTACGAAATTATCATTTGACTATCTGAGGATAATTTAATAATTCCCATTGGAACATTAAGAACAAGATATTCAGCGAAGAGACTCTTTTCAACGAATTTATTTTCAAGCTGTACAATCGCATATAATCGTATACAATCGTATACAATCGTATATATATATATATATATATATATATATATATATATATATATATATATATATATATATATATATATATATATATATATATGGTGATGACAATAATAATAGAGAGGGTGATGATATAGGCATTTATGATTATAATAACAATTGAAGTGCGAATGATAACAAATAGATTATGTAATATATGGAATGGTACATAGAGAGTATATAACTCAGAAGGGGGTGAAAAAATTGTTGAAAATGGTAAATCAATTAAGTATTACGTAATGGCATTAGACAAATTGGACAAGATGAAGTCACTGTTTTTAAAAGGATTAAGACAATTAAGTGAAACAACAATAATAGTGATAAAGGAAGGATACAAAGGTTAAATTAACAAAGTGGGAGGGAGAGCTAATAGGGTAGGTAAATGTTGTGGCCATGATAAAGACAGTGACTGCACATACTTCTTTTGTACACACAGATCAGGTCTTAGTTCATGAATAGCTAAAGTCTCCGCTGTTTTTAAGGCTATCTGAGGATAGCCGTAGTTTGGCAGACCAGTATTTATACATTGTGATGATTAAAGGTGAAATGAAAATTTGAACCGCCACCAGATTCGAACCAGCAATCACCGGGTTTCCGACCCGATGCCCTACCAACTGAACTGTGAGGTCCAAACCTGAGTTAGAATCGGGCCGGAAACCCGGTAATTGCTGGTTCGAATTTGGCCGCGGTTCAAATTTTCACTTCACCTTCATTCATCACCCGGTAGAAATCTGCCAAGTGACAATGACATATTATTTGCGAAATTGTGAACCACTGGAAACCGACCCAGTGGCCGAATGGTTAACACGTTCGCCGTGAAACCTGAAGGTCTTGAGGTCGACCCATAGCCAGGTCGTGGGTGCGCACTGCTGAGGGGTCCCAAACGAGGAAGAAACAGCTGTTCAATGCTCCTAGATTTTTAATGGTTCCCTAACTGATGTCAGTCCATGATCAATACTACTTCTAAATTGTTATTTGTGTCAATTTAAGGTCAAGAAACCTTAAAGTTTGCATATTATTCACTAAAGGTCAACAAATTTTGCTTTTCACTGTCTTCTAAATAACTTTTCACTTTAAACAAATATAGCTTTGAATTTCATGTTCATCGTAAATTACTGTACAACAGATTACATAGAGTATTACAAATGCATATGAACAAGATCTTAGTTTATCAGTTGAATGGAACTGATTAAATCAATTGGATTGATTGAAGCAGTTTGAATACCTTCATCCAGTATTCAGAAGAATACAAATCATATTCCTGGTAATAACTGTTTTCCACAAATTTCTCGTCCAGTTCTACAATTACAAATCCATTTCTATCATCATTTCAAGTGGGATTTTTATGTTTCTTTTACTGATTGATCGAATATATTATTTAGATGATTCAGAGCTGTAGAGTCTAAGAAAGAGAAGTGAAGTGTTGATGTTGTCCAGAAAGACGATGAAAGCTTCATGATTAAACAACCCAGCTCAGAGAATACAACCAAGAAGTGAAGAATGTTTAACTTAATTCCATGAATATGGACAGTAAATTATGTCCGAAAGATTATTCAGTAAATAATACTGTTTAATGATTCTAATGGATAGGCTAAAATAGAATTACAATACATCGCAGTACCGAAAGTTTATTTCTATCTTAATGTTTAACTTAAAATTCCTAATTTTTAGCTGTATTCTGTTTCAAGAGACAAACACGATGAGTTTCAGGTAAAAAGAGAAGGCGGATCATAACGAACGGGTTTGACTACACATTGTGCATATCTTACAGTTTATCGTTGACTGATTTTCACTTTTTCTGCTAGTAAAAGTTGCTCGATAATTAGTTATTTTAGGTTGGTATTCATAATGGATTGACATCACCTGGAGAAACACTGGGAACCTAGGAGCACTGAATAGCTGTTTCTTCCTGATATAGGACTCCTCAACAGTGCGCACCCATGACCCCACCTCATCTGGGATAGGACTCAGGGCCTTAAAATTCCGCGGCCAGCACGTTACCATTGAGTCCCTGAGTCAGAACCCAATGGTCCGTATTTCCTACTTCTGTCAGCACACGATATAGTGCGACCTCCATCCAGTGCCGTTGTTGAGTACCTGTTCTCGTCCTGGCATAGGATTTCTCAACAGTGGGCACCCAAGACCCAAAAACTTTTTGGGTCTCGTGGTAAGTTACATTCAACCAATAGGTAGAAGTCCAACTGTAAAATGAAAGTCCCGTGTTCGATCCTTGATAGGATCTTGGGTGCCCCCTGCTGGGAGTTCCATACTAAGCCTAAAAAACTGTTCAGTGCTCCCACATTCTCAATAGTTCTTTAGGTGATGTCAACCAGTGATGACTACCACCTTAAAGATAAATGCATAAGATTAAAGCAGTCGTTTGGTATTGAGTAATTAAATGAATAACAGCTGAAGTAATTATGGTAGATTATCAGTGTTTAGATCGAAAGCGTGGTGACAGTGGAAAACATTTACCTATGATGTGGGATTCTTGAGAAAATTTGTTATCATTGTCTCGATTCAGAAAACACGGACAACAATCTACACTTGGAATAATGCAAGAAGAACAGTAGTAACATAATTAGCATGCATGTATTTCATGGATTCTCTTCAACTACTTTACAACCTGTGGAATATCATGTTTATGATGAAGAATCTGTTATACATTTTTTCGCCATTTTCCCTCGAATGTTTATTCTACCAGTGTATAAATAGTTAACCTTTGACTAAGCTTAACAACTTGATCAATATCGGTCAACCTAAATCTTTGTTACCTTCCATTTCAATTTGTACATGGTTTTGTAGATTGATTAAAGTACTTTGTACAACATATTATCATAAACATGATATCCTACAGGTTGTAAAGCAGCTGAGGAGAATCCACAAAATACAGGCATGCTACCTTTTTGCTTATAGCCTGATCCTATCCAAAATAATATACACGGTATTTACACTTTTGACTTCTTAACTTTTGTTCAGTAGTTGGTAATGAAACAAAACTGTTTGTTAAACACATGAATTCAACGAAAGGCTTAAAATAGTAGTGATAGGGTATCTCAGCTAAACACTGGATATTAACATTCTGCGTAAATAAATACAATCTGGATCCAACACCTAGTCTTCAATAATAAACGGGGTTCTTGTAGGAAAAAACACTTGGGATGCTTTTGTTCTATCCACAAATTAGGGTTTTACATTGTCTTGGAATTAGGTAAGCTAACTTTGATTGCATGCACAATCAACAACTTGCTTATGCGGCGGTTTGGTGTTGCGGACGGTTTCATCACTAGACTTTATGACATCTTCAGCACAGATATTTTATGAAGTTAGTTTTGATAATGAAATGTCCACGACATAATATCAAAGCTTAGAAAACGCCATACCACTATCATAGTCATCTTGAGCTATAAATCTTTTCATTTTCACCTACATCTTCGAAGCTTAGTGTTTAAATATAACTCTTGGAAATTCAACTGGCTTATTTTACACAAGTTTTTCATTACTCTTGCCTACAAACACATACACCCATGAGATTTGATTGAAAACAATCAAGGAGAGGTATAATAGCAGCCAAATGTATATATTATAAATTGAAATATATATCGAAATAACCGTCAGTGTACTGACTTATTATGAAAACGGGGTAAAGAAAAAAAATCAGCTGATTAAATTAAAAAAAATTGTACCTTTTTAGCTATTCGAAACAAAAGTATCACGGACAAAAAGAAAATCTCTTAACAGCTTTTTACATTCTTTGTTTACCTCTAATCAGGTGATGGCATTACGTTCAATTGTTCAAATGCAGCTTTTTCTAGAGATTCTCTGAAAGTAAAAATGGTTTGTTTATGATACAGAAAAAAGGGATGAAAAAATGTCTTGTGTAATGTGAAGAAAAATAAATCCATTGGGAAACGTATCATTCAAATAATCTTATAATTTCTTTTCATGAGGTAGCCTAGTGAGCGACTTGGATTGGTTGCTTCAAAGAGAAATAGAATGTTAACTGTTCATTTAAGGACCAACAGAGATTAACCTCTTGGATTTCAGTGAGTTCACCTAAACGTTGTAGGTTGATAAGACAGTGGTATTAACGTAGTGAAAAATTAAATCAAGTTAGTCAATGAAACGTTCTGACGACTAGTTCCTCCTTGATTCAAACAGGAATCACGGCGGTGTTGAATCATAGCATGAAAACACTCTGTCAGACAGTTATCACTGGCACAGAATACTCTTTTCGTCACTTAGTTTGTAGTTATAAATACTTTTTGTACCTGAGTTGTAACTCACGTAATTTGACATTGTGAGATTACTGGCTCCTTGACAGACAATGCAAACCTGAAAAATCTCAATCCGTTCTGATTCATCATCTCAGTGGGTTTTTGATGAACAATAATTTCTCAACAGATGTTAACTACTGCTTCCACATGTAAGTGCCAATAAGACTGTCTAATAAACATTGGCAAGCGAAGCAGAACAGCCTGCTGGTAAGAGAGACTTGACAACATTATATCAAATAACCAGGTTACTATCCAGGAAGAAATCAATGCAGAGGAAACCAGTCAAAGATAGTGAAGGAAAGCTAGTTACCAAAGAAGAGAAACAAAGGAAACAATGGTCTGAACACTTCAAGAAACTCTTGAATCGACCATCACCACCTGCGACTTGTCCGGAAATATCACCAGCCACGGCAGAACTACAAGTGAACACAGGCCCTCCGACAAAAGCAGAAGTCCTGAATGCCATAAAGTTGTTGAAATCCGGGGAAGCGGCAGGAACAGATGGAGCTCCACCAGAAGCACTGAAAACAGTGGACGTTCTCACATCACTACTGCATAAGGTTGGCAGAAGGTTGGAAGAAGGGCTACCTTGTCGAACTCCTGAAAAAGGGAGACCTCAGCCTTTGCAAAAACTGGCGAGAAATCGTGCTGCTGTCCACCCAAAACATTATGCCGCATCATCTTGGAGAGACTAATAGATGCACTGGATTCAACTGGATTACGACCAGAACAGGCTGACTTCAGGAAGAACAAATCATGTGCGGACCAAATTGCAACGCTACACTACGCATCATTATAGAACAGAGTATAGAATAGCAGTCAACCCTCTACCTCAACTTCATCGACTTTGAAAAGGCCTTCGACAGCGTCGACCGAATAGTAATTTGGCAGTTGCTTTAACACTGTGGAGTGCCACAAACCTTCATCAACCCCATTCAACAGCTATATGAAGACGCCACATGCCAAGTGATCAAAAATGGAATGCTCAGCTACGCCTTTGAAATGAAGACAGAAGTAAGACAAGACTCCCTACTATCATCCATGATCTTCTGATTGTGGTGGACTGGATCATGAAGCAAACCGTGAGGAGCGAGAAGATGGGCATATGCTGCTTCATCAATGAAAAGAGCCTAGAAGATTTGGATTTCGCCAACGACGATGATTTATGTCTAATGTCTTGTTACACAAACTTGAAGATCTACAGGCGAAAACTAACAAGTTGACAGAAGAGGCAGCGAAAACGGGACTTCAAGTAAATGTAGAGAAAACGAAGGTGATGAAGATACCCAACGAACATCAGCATGAAAAACAAGCACAAATCACCATCAACGGGAGAAACCTAAAAGAAGTAGTCTTTCACCTACACCTACCTAGGCAGCATCGTTTCAACTACAGGTGGCACAGGCACACATGACGATGTCAAAACAAGGATCGGGAAAGCAAGACAGACTTTCATTAATCTGAAATCACTGTGGAGATCTATTGCACTCAGCATAAAGAACAGGATCCAGATTTTCGACACCAATGTCAAGTCAGTGCTTCCGTATGGTTCAGAAACTTGGCGTGTCACGAAAGGCAATTTCCAACAAACTACAGATATTCATCAACAACTGCCACGTACACTGGCTCGTTACTGAGGATCAGATGGCCAGAAAGAATAAGCAACAAGGAACTCTGGCTGGCTAGCTGGCTGGTAACGAACCAACCAACAACCTATCACTCAACAATTATGCAGAAGGAAGTGGAGATGGATTGGGCATACACTGAGGCCATTTGGGGACATCATGCGCCAGGCCAGGTCCTTGAGTGGAATCCAAAGGGAAAAAGGTGAGTGGGGCGTCCCAGCTGAGGGTGACATGAAGGAGAGAGATTATGTGAGGAAGAAATGAGAGCTTGTGGGAAGTGGCTGTGCGAGGTTGAAAAGATTGCAGAGAACAGAGTGGAATGTAGGCGTGCTATTGAATAGGTATGTTCCACTAGGAACCCAAGGAAAAAATGATGATAATAATCCTCAGCGTTTACGTCTAAATACCACATAATCAGGTGGAAAGTGCATCTAATTTGTCACTTGACAGAGAAGTGGGGATTGCAGTGAAGAAGCCTCAAGAAGGAACACTTCAGTAACGATGCTCCACATGAAAATGTGAATCAATGTGTTTTCTCTCAGAAAGAAAATTAAAATAATTGAAGAATACATGAACTACAGATGCCAAATTGAGTCCCAATAGTTTATTAAACACCATATCACTTTTGGATTTACAGAGGCTAGTTAGTGTTTCAGTAGGCAAACTTTCACACCTTAGGTTCAAGTAACTCTACCTCTCTCATAATAGGGAAAATCGAATCCTGTTTTATTAGTATCTCCAGTTATCTTGATATTCAAATGAGTGCTAAGTCACAAGATTGTCTTCAGATAGGACATAGTAAGTCAGAGTTTATACTTTTCAAGGCTTTCGACATGTTGGAGTTGTTACATTTATTTCATTCAACCAGATAACAGGCACTCTCATGATTTCATTACACTAGTCAATGTCACTGAATACGCAATCACCGATTTGACCGTTAGCCGGGCTGTAAGACAAAATGTGGCACTCACAGCCTGTAAAAATTTGTATGACTTGTTAGACTTAGTTCTCAAAATTGTTTCAGGTTTTGACGTCTTCCAGCACTTCATAAATTGTGCGAGTGCCCATTTTTTTTCATATAGTTCGACGTGACCTGAAACCAATATGAAAGTGTCGCTCAAACATACTTACTAAATGATCAGATCTAAGCCATTGAGAAAGTGGAAAAACCACAAAAGAAAAATTACCTGTGATTTGGATGTGCAATTTGAATGAGTGCATGAGCACGTTGTCTTAAGCTACGTCCAAACAAATAGGCAATACCATATTCTGTCACAACGTAATGAGCATGAGCACGCGTTGTCACAACACCACCACCCGGCTTAATACATGCAGAGATTTTACTTTCTCCTTTATTCGTTGAAGATGTGAGAGCAATTATCGGCTTGCCTAAACCATCTTCAGCTAATGCTGCCCCACGGATGAAATCAACCTGACCACCAAATCCTACAAGTAAAGTGAATTAAGAAACAAATTTAGTCAAACATTTTTGGATTCGATTATCATTGTGACGTAAATAAGTAACAGGCAGTGGCATAGTAGGAAAACATTTTGAATTTTTGTTGGTTGGATAAAAGTAGTGTGAAATCAAGGAACGTATTGCATTGAGTACTGTGTAAATTGCTCCGGTCGATGAACTCAACATATGTTAAATTCCCAGTCAAACGTTGTATGTCTTACTTGAACTAGGTTGATAGGCTTCAAAATTCTCGTGGATAGATTGTGATAGTTTGTTTTTCTGATTAAGAATAGTAATACCACTGCCGTGAATGCTAAGTGAATCCTTCTTATTTTGTTTGCAATGTAAACTGCTTTACTCTACACTGTTCTCATCCAATATTTTCATTTGATGGAATGAGGAGTAAAGGATAAGTTATCATGAACAAACTATCAGCCTTATTTCATTGTATATTCTACCTTCTGATGAACTGTTAATTGGAATGGTCGGTATTGTCACAGAATAGTTTAGGCATAGTTGTGTGACAGTATTCAATATTTGAAATAAATGTCTAAAAGTAACAAAATGTTTATCAGAAATGCGTAGTTGGTTCACAGAATCACTTGTTGATGTGATACTTACCAGTTTTAGCTTAGTTTAAATTCCGCTTAGTGGTCAATAACACGTAATAATAAAAATTGAATATATACACAGTTACATATGAGTTCATTTTGTGTTATTGTAACTGGAGGATGAAATCAAAGTGCCGTTGGATGTAATATTTCTTCATCCAAATCACTATTAGTTATTATTTAGTGTAAATGAGGTTACAAAGGCATTAGATATTATGTGTTGTCAATTTTCGTTTCAGCTGTTCTGATTCAAAATTTCTCTCAATTGACAATAAGAAATTTGAATTTGTAATGACTGATTATAATTACTCAGTTTGAACATCAAAACAAATAACCAATCATCTACATACATTAAATATTTGATCTACTATTTAGTTATATATTTTCATGTGAATAAAAGAATCCAAATGTTATACTGAGGAAGCTATGGCTTAAGCGGCAAAACACTCGGAAAAATCTTGTTTTGACCTTCTAAACAAACTGGAGTTATGAGGTAATATTCATCATGAACTGATATCAATTAGGGAACCATTGAAAACCTGAGGGTACTGGACAGCTGTTTCGTCCCAGTATGGGTCTCCTCAGTAGTATGCACCCATGACCCAGCTAGGGTTATAACTCAGGACCTTCAGGTTCCACAGAGAACGCATTAACCATTCAGCCACTGGGTCGAAGTTCAATGGTTCACATTTTCTAACTCCTGTCAATTCACGATATAGAGCGACTATCACCCAAGGTCTTCAGTTCGCATCCTCTTCCCTTCCGACTGCTTGACCCCACAGGTCAGGGCTGAGAAGCACCATCTTATGATAAAACAGCTGTCCAGTACTCCCAGGTTTTCAATGGTCCTTTGACTTATGTCAGTCCATGATGAATACTAATTCTTAACTGAAATCCCCAAACAACTCAAAAATACACATTGGGATTATATTAAAAAGTGGCTTGTCTTAATTAAACAGGTCTGGGAATTGTTTAATAATATGAACTGAAAGAGGGCCGTTGAACTCAATTTTGTGGCAATCGCAATAGTCCTGAATGACTCAACAGAAGGCAGGATAACTTCCACTGTAGGACAGCTTAGGCTGACCAATATAGTGTCAGCATGAGACCTGGGATTACAGAGTCATGTTCCAAGTTACTACACCTCGAATTTCCACCTCAAATGAGAATGTACCAAAATGAGAGACAAATAAGAGATGAAGGAGGTATCTGAAAGTGTTAAAAGGTTCTGAAAAAAAAGCAGGAAAGAGTGAAACAATAATAAAATTCAGTATGACAATAAAGATGAAGATAATATGCGAGTACATACATCTGTACCACTGAAATCGACTCCCAGCCATCTCAAAAAGAGTCTTCAACCGCTGGTTTCTGTTTTCATGCGGACCCCAAGATTTCCCCGCACAGCTAAAACTAACGGTCCAAGGCTTCATGGATTGATGCCATGCATTATTCTTGGAGTCGCTGACCATTATCTAGTTTAAACTTAGGTCAACTAACAATGTACAACAGAAAGACCCTGACGAGGCGTACGTAAAGTACGTCACGGCCACCTCATTTGATGAAGATTCGCAATCTAAGCAAATGAATCCCGTCTTCCGCCCAGAACTAAGCCTGACTTACACGTTAGATACGTAGTAGCACCATGATACACGAATTATGCCGTGAAGGCAACGGTGGTCGAACATATGAAGTCTTTTCATATCCTTTACTTCTATCACTTTTCACAGCCATACAGAGGAACAACGGGAACTGCACTCCTGTACACTTGGTCTCTAATAGGCAACCGAATATTACTGAAATGCTATAAATAGCCTTAATTAGTGAATGCGATGCATGCCTTTTATATTCTTGCAGAGGTTTTTCCGGTCACTGATGCACCGGGGTAAGTCTAGCTTCCCAAATAAGTGAAGTGGTTAACGCGCTCAACCTTTTTATTCCCCATCACTAGATAGGAAACCAGTGAAGACTGGTTCTGAACCTACAATTTTCACTTTGGTGGTGAGAAACGCATCTGCTTTAAGTGAGAGACGATGCAACAAGACACCTGAATAGGCGAAGTGAGATGCCACTTTTAGGCCAGGGATTGTAGTGTCAATAACCGTTCCCCGTTCCCCAATTTCCTTGATAAGTCAAAATGACTGTCTGCTATCAACTATCGCTGATACCTCTTCCATTTCTTTACCTTTTCACGGACATTGTGCAGACTTTTCGTCAGTCTACATTACAGCTGATTCAACTCTTCAGTAACGGAGTGCAACAAACCTTTATCAACCTCATTCAACACCAGCCATATGCTATGCTATATTATGCTATGTGAGGATGCTACATGGCAAGTGATTGATAATGGAAAGTTCAGTTCAGTGATGCATTTGAAATGAAAACAGGAGTAAGACAGGGTTGTCGCCTACTATCATTACCGATGATCTTCCTCATTTTGGTCGACTGGACTGGACCATGCAACAAATTGTGAGGTGTGACAAGATGGGCATATACTGGCTGGACCGATGAGAATACCTAAGGAGATTTGGATTTCGCCAACGATGATGATTTATGTGGTGTCTTATGTCGCACAAACTCGAGGATTTACAGGCGAAAAATAACAAGTTGGCAGAAGAGGCGAGGCAGAGCAGCGAAGACGCAACTTCCTTCAAGTGAACGTAGAGAAGACAGAGGTGATGAGGATACCCTACCAATAATAACGACAACAACAAGAAGCACCAATCACCATGGACGGGAGAAACTTAAAGCAAGTAGTCTCTTTCACCTACCTACCTACCTAGGTAGCATCGTTTCAACTACAGGAGGCACAGGCACAGATGAGGATGTCAAAGCCAGCATCAGAAAGTCAGCAAGACGGGCTTTTCCGAATTATTCTAAAATAATCAGTGTGGTGACCGACTGCACTGCACTCAGCATAAAGCGTGAACAAGATCCGGATTTTCAACATTAATGTCAGTCGAGAGAGTGCATGGTGTGTTACGAAAAGCATTTCCAACAAACTACATACATTCACCAACAGCTGCCGCCTACCCTCACTCCATACAGAAGATCAGATCAGATGACCAGAATAATAAGAATAAGCAACAAGGAGCTCTGGTTGGCACCACAATGAACCAGCCAAGAACCCATCACCCAACAAATATGCAGAAGAAAGTGCAGATGGATTGGATTGGACATATACTCAGACCATTTGGGGATATCACGGGTCAGGTCGGTCCCTCGAGTGGAACCCAAATGGAAAACGATGAGTTGGGCATCTGAGGTTGACACAGAGATGGTATGATGAAGAAATGAAAACTTCTAGGCGATTGTGGACGCAGGTTGAAAAGACTGGAGAGAAGAGAGTGAAATGGTGACGTGCTACTGAATCCCTGTGTTCCACTAGGAACCCAAAGTACGAATAATAATAATAATAATAATAATAATAATAATAATAATAATAATAATGATAACAATAATAATACTCTTCGGTAAGCTTAAGGCTTACAGGATCGCATTTACTCGTATCCTGATCGTACTGATAAAATATATTTTTTTTGTATTCAAGTCTCATGTTTTGAAGTGAGAATTTTCTAGTTCAATAATTTTGATTGGCATATGTACAACAAACTGGATTTTCACGTAGCACAGCGTGTTGTCATGTAACAGAAAAACGTCTTCACTCAAATTGGTTTTGTGAGGTCAAAAGGGAATTATAAGGTACAACCGATGAAAGATATGAACTTACCCGAGTAGATTCTTGTACCTATAGAATCTGATACAATCTGACCAGCTAGATCAACTTCAATGCACGAATTGATTGCAACTGGTTTCGGGTTTTGAGCTATTATCGATGATGAGTTTACCCAAGCAACATCACAAAAATCTGTGAGTAGAAGAGAAACAAATCATATGAAAAATAAAGCTGGGATGTATAAAATCAGTGTAGTCGAATACTTAAGTATTCTCAAGTGATGAATCACTGGGAGGCTGCACTAGTAACAGCTAATATGATAGCTAAATAATAAATATACAGACTATCAAAAATTAAAATTTCATAAAACGTAACCCCTCGAAGCTTATGACAGTTATTCTTGAAATTCTTATCAATGAGTCGTGTAGAACAAGATAGAATAATAATGGTTAGTTTGGTTTATGCTCCCGCACAATCCAGTGCAGTCCATTATAATTTTTGACTGACATACAGATTCCATTTAGAATGTTAGTTGCATTTCATACTTTAAATAATTTACTAACGGCAGATTAAACAGACGAAAAAAACACGATGATGAGGTTCTCAATTTATGTAAAATGGTAAAAAAAAAGGTAGAAGTCAGGTCCTTCCTTACGGTTTCAGCCAGAAAATCAATCGCTGTTCCCACTTTCCCACTTAAACTGTTATGTAGAGAACATCTACAACGTGTAAAGAATGTAGCAGAATCAAGAAATGTCAGAAGTGGTTTGATAAGTCTTCACATTTACTACTGCATGACTGCGAACATATCGCTGACTTGATTAATATTGATGACATAGGCAACGATGTTCATTTGCTTCATCTTCTGCTTCACCATCTTCGAGTTTGTACAACAAGACACCACACATAAATCATCATCGTTGGCGAAATACAAATCTTCTAGTGTCTTTCCATCGGTCAAACAGCGTATGGCCCTCTTCTTTCTCCTCACAGTTTGTTTCATGATCCAGTCCAGTTCAGTCGACCACAATGAGGAAGATGATTGGTGATGATGGTAGACGACAACTTTGTCTTACCCCTATCTTCACTAAAAAGGCATCACTGAACTGAGATTTCCATTTCCAATCACTTGGTATGTAGCATCCTCACATAGCATAGCATAGCGTAGCATATAGCTGGTGTTGAATGAGGTTGATAAAGGTTTGTGGCACTAAGACCGTAGTGCTGAAGCAAGCAGCTGCCTGCCAAATTACTTCTCGTTCGACGGTGCTGATGGCCTTTTCAAAGTCTATGAAGTTGAGGTAAGGTAGAGAGTTGACTGCCATTCTATGATCTGTTCTATGATTATGCGTAGCGTTACAATGTGATGCGCACATGATTTGTGTTTCCTGAAGCCAACCAGCCTGTTCCGGTCGTAATTTTGAAACTAGCGGTTCTATTAGTCTCTCCAGTATGATGCAACTTAATGATTTGCTTGAGGTGGACAGCAGCGTAATTCCTCGCCAGTTCTTGCGAAGACTTACGTCTCCTTTCTTCAGGAGTTTGTCACGATAGCCATCCTAGCATTTAGCAAGTATCTTTCCTTCCTTGCCAACCTTCTTTAGTAGTGATATAAGCATGTCCGCTGATGTCTCTAATGCACTGCTATTTTTGGTCTCTTTTCTATGCGTTTAATTCCACTTCATTCTTCGGTTAATGTTTGCTACATAACCTATGTTCATTCACTCTAACTTTCAGCGGTGTACAAATTTCACCAACAGAATCTCCCTCATGGTCCGTACATTTCATCTTATACATCTAGTTGTTTTGTGTAATCCTTAGGATCACATCTTCCACTTTGATTAAGACATTCTCCAGAGAATTTGAAGGTTTGAAATATACTATAATACCGTACTCAGCCCAAACTGTTTTCATTTGTTCTGTAGTACCTGTTTTATTCAGAATTGTTATTGTTGGTTTTCATAACTTATTTTCAGTCTTAATGTTCTTATCTGTTTGCTTCTTGTCATTTTTCTTAAAAATATTATTGGAAAAAGGGTTTGAATAATCATTTTCAACTAATACTTGTTTTATTTTAGAAATTTAATTTTCTATATCTTTCGGACCGATCACAATATTTTTACCTCTATGTATTAGGTTCAAAGCTACTGTTTGGGACGTTTGATGGATAGACGATTTGAGTGATAGCTTCAATGGTACAGAAGGCATACTTTTTAAGGCTCAATGTCAGTGTCTATGCTAGAAACTGGTACTGGTCAACGGTTCTCTTCTTAATACGTAGACTTTCTATATATGTACTGATTTACCTAACTATCAACACGATGTCTGTCTTACCAACCTAGCCTATTAAGGAATTCATCTTTAACTGTATTCACCTTAGGTTCCATCAAAGTACAAGTAGAGATAACAGAAACACAATGTTTTCCTGATCATCAACTAACTGATTAATTACACCTTTTGTAAATTTTAGCCGATTAGTTACAGGAACTTTGAAAAGTACAGCCCCCTGAAAAATGTGTTCATGTGTGCAAAAACAAATAAAAGTGCAAAACGTAAAGTGGTAAACACTTTACTGATTCATCTACTTAAAAATGAATAGAAATATTGATAGGAAAATATGTTAAGAATACATGAAAATCAGGCTTGAAAGAAAAACAATAAACAATAAAACATGAATGTGCAAATTATTACATCTAGTAAAAGTATGAGGTACGCATATAAAAGTGAATTGGCAGCAAAGAATGCTCCATAGGATATGTTACACAAATGTTATAGCATAGTTCATCATATGTCCTTTTCGTGTTCTCTCGTCAAAAGCGCTGACCGATTCATATCGACCGAGTTTGTAATGGATCTACACTAAACTATACTAACTGACATTGCAGGGTAGTAATGTTATTTGACTGGACATAACCATTTGAAAGCCTATTATAAGATGAATTTCAAGCTTGATGGCGCAAATTTGTGAAGGATATCTACAACCTGAAGACAACTATTCCTCTTTAGTAAGTGAGTTTGAACACCTGTCAAATTCGTTTGAAGCACGAAACTAGGATTCTGGGATCAAAATTTTTAAAAATAAATAAGCATGAATGATAATACTTCCGAATACCCTAGACTAGGTTACAGATCCTTAGATTCGTATGTATACATGAGCAATGACGTTAAACAACTCAAAGGTTACTTTTTGCTGGAAAATACTTGAGTTGTATATTTTTTTTATTGTTTGACTATTTATTGGATAAAAGCTGTCTAGTGAACCAAAACACTTAAGAAAATATAAAATTCCAAAAACGAAAAGATGTTTAGTGAAGTGAAACTAAATATGGAAAAATAACAAAATCTTAGACGAACTTTAGTAGTTTAAAGTCAAAATTTACTGATCAATCTTAATGAAACTTTCCACCTTATCTATTCACTTTGAATACTCATCATTTTCTTTCAACCTTTCAATGCTCTGAGAAACACTTCTGATACAATACAATAGTGGTTGACTTATTTCTCAGTGATCACTTTCAAACGGATTTCTACAAAGTTAATAAATCTACCATGATCATGTATATTAGATATTTCAAAGTCAGGCAATGTGATCACACGACGCAAAAGGCGTAAGCTCTCAGTTATCCTTAATTAGTGTGGTGTGATACTTTTCGTAGCAATCGATAAACTTCACAGTTTCATCTTCTGGCTCCTTGAATACAATATACTTCGAACATCAATTCTGAGATATGTGGGGATTTATTTATTGATTTCAGGTTGATATTCATCATGAACTGATACCATTTGTATGGGACTAGTATGGAACTTCTCAGCAGTACGAACCCATGACTCCACCAGGGATTTTAGGTAGCTGAAATTTAATTTCATCAATCATATCAGTTGTGTTGTTTAAGTAAACGGTTATCTTGATATATCTGATCTCCATGCAGATACTTTTATCATGGTCCTAGGTGTTCAAGCTACTTTTTCAACTGGTCATTTCGTCCATCATAGTGATTTTGATAGAAAACCACAGAAATGAATCTAATCTCTTAACTATTTCAGAATTCTTGTTCAACATCAAGCAGTGGTAAATGCTTATCAGATCATCATTAAAACCAAAGATGATTCTACAGAGGAAAATGATGATATCATTTACTAAAACTATAATATCGTATTTATAATCACTAGCAACATCAAGCAACAGTCTATTAATAAACACTACATTGAGAAAATATCAATGGTATAATACCGGAGAGTGGAATATAAATGTGTCTAGATACAGAAAAAAGATGGCTTGGCAACCCGCAAGGTAATGGAAGTAACCACGATTGTGTGGAATTCGATAACCTATGACCTGCTATTAGACGATAATCATGGATCTTAAACGTTAAACTGACAGGCGAAAGAAGATTCCCAGACAAACAGAAAACAATGAGCATGATAATGGTGAGATTATTACTGAAAAAATAACCAGATAAATAGAAAGTGGTTAAGATCATGGTAGAATCATCATTTATAAATGCTTGTCCTACAAGTATAAATTAAGCCTGAAATAGTGAGTCTGTAATCCCCATTACTTGTAAAAGTAGTAAAGTCACATGACTTTTGAAGCATATGATTTTATCGAGTCGGAACTCTTAAAAGATGACTGTGGTGAAGCCCTTCAGCCACAACTAATAAAGTGTTCTAGTATCAGACTAATAATAACTTTATACTCTCCCCTTGTTGATCGAAAAGGATGACATTCTGAAATATATCTGGACTTTTTTCACAGCATATGACCAGTGTAACACACACTGTATGAAGAAATAAACTTGTAGTTGCTTCTGACGTATCTACATACAACCTGTTGATTAGAGAAAACAATCGAAATCTCTACAGAAGAGAATACATTTATTAAAGACCACTACTATACTACCCTGCAGGTCACCATTAGTCAACAAGGTTTTTTCAAGAACTATAAAGAGTAATTTGACCTGTTATTTTGTCTTCAAATTCATCTCGATAAATTTACAAGGAGAACCATTTTGACTAAGTAATTGTTGGAGTCTTTCTAGTTCATTATCACGCAGACATATGTAAATCTTGAAGACAGTTACTGGATTACTTTCTTCTTTCTCACCAGCTTTACCCAACTTTGAAAATGTTTATTCTCCGCTCCATTTTGGTTCCCTATACATCAATCTTTGAAGAGAACGAACTCATATTTT